TTTCAAAGGCTGGGTGTATCCAACTTCGAACAACGTCGAAAAGGGAATGAGAACGTTTGTTAGGGAGACGGTTCGCACGTGGCGCCTTGGGTCGGACTGTTCCATTATTTTCGAAGGGGTGTTCCGTTTTGGGAACAATGGCAATTAGTCGGTTATCCAGGTAAGTATTCACGAAATAGACTAACATATTAAAGTTCTCATACAAATATAATAACAATACATAAAACACACAAAAAAACAAATAGTTAGATTCTGTTCTACAGGTTGAAACTGCTCGAATCTTATGACAAAAATGATAATAATCATTCCATATCAAACAACCCCACAAAATTATCGGATAGATTTTATTTAAAGAAGATAACATAACTGTACTTACTGACTCTAAGCACATGAGGCTCACTCTTGTCACTGGACGTGCACCTGTAAAGGCCAGCGTCACGTACTTCCACGTTATTTATCACAAGACGAATGGAACCATCATCTAGCCTCTGTGTGTACACTCTATCTGGGGGATCACCGACATCAAGAAGCCCAGATCCAATGTCACCAGAACCTAAATCAACTCCGGAGCCTGGTTCCCCAGATCCTGAGAATTCTAAAATATGGTATGACAAAATAAATTTGAATTTGTAACTTCATAATTGGAGTTTCACTCTAACCAAACACCAAGCGACTCCAGAATCCAAATACTTTTAAATACTGTATATTTCAATTCTGATACAAATCTAGATCAGGACATATTCTCTTTTTCCATTACTCTATCATTTTAAAAAACTGAATTCCATTATAAATACACTTTATTATGGATAATGTTTATGAACAGCCATCCAGTTTCTATTATCATAAGGGCAATTTTCAGAATGCCTGACATACCCCAAGCCTTCCTCAAATGGTCTTGTAAAGCTAACATGAAATGTTTACAATTTTCATCTCTTGAAGAATACTTTCTCATTTCCCTTCCTTCCTTTGTAAGCATGTATATTTAAAAAAACAATGTTAGCAAGTAAGAATTCACAAAATAGACCACAAAATATGCTATATATTCTTAGCCTTGTTGACAACATTAGAACTCACCATCAGAGCTTTCAATAACATTTCCAACCGCATCGGTCCATACGGGAGGGGTTCTGGCACCATCACTTGCTCTACAAAGTATGGTGTGACGACTACCAGGTGTTGGGTCTTCAGACGAACTTGGGGTGATGGTCAAATCAAATGGTTTCTCCTCTGTGAAGTGAAAAAAATTGTCAATACATGGTTTTAAATGAATGCACAAAACCAGCTCTTCATGAGACATGGTAAGGAAAAGTACTTTATGTAGGCAGATATCACAAGCTTGCTTTTATCTCTGTTTAAGTTGCGGTCGTAAGACCGATACGTTTGTCGCTGCAGATTAATTAGATTTCTCTGTGAAACAGACTATACCGTGTACTTGTTATTATTTGATGTTCCGAAATTTATATTTGTTATTAAGTTTGATGCTTATGTATTTTACTACAAGCCTATGAAGCTTTTTAGATAACCCTTCTTTAGTTTCAACAGGTTGAAATATCAATTGCATAATTTGTTGTAGGGTCAGCATTTTAGTTAATTTTATCATAGTCGAATGCTGATCGACCTGTTTGTTGTACTTCAAACTTCAATTTTCATCAATGATTGAATGACAATATCATGCAATGCAGTGTAAGCGTTTTCCTTTTTGCGATGTCTGTTTACATAAATGTGACCCAAGCTCACAAATGCGCTGTAAACTCGCACCGCACTGTATTGAGAAACAAGCCTCCATAACCAGAATAGGGCGTAGAACGTGAATTATGTGTGAATTGGGTTTTGTGTAATTTATAAAGTATAACTATTGATCTTACTATTCCTGAAGGTCATAACTTTGCTTCCAGACACCCGATTGAATTCATTTAACTGTCATTTTAAAGTAAATGATATGTTCTATGTCATTATAACAAAAACTCATTTTGGCCTGAGGACAAGTTTACAGCCCTTTTGTGAGCTTGGGTCACAAATGCTAATATATGTAAACACCTCTGGACAATACTTGACTGTTTGAACAAATGTAAATACCAAAAGAAGAATTAACAATACATATTTCACCAGCATGAGGAATTCAAACTAACTACAAACAACTTACCAACGTAGGGGAATTCACATTGTGGTCCTCGGTAGTAAGGAGTACATCTACAAACACCATCTTCACACAACCCTCCATTTTCACATGGGTCTGCACAACTTGGAACTGTAGAGCAAATTTATTGAGAGAAAAAACAATACTAAGGATAATAGTAGCATTTAGATTTCTCAATATTATAAGAACTTTTGCATTAAATATACACCATTTTATCAGGTCTATTTTGAAACAGCGCCACCAACGTCTCACAAGTTTTCACTGAAGCCCATCCAGCAGCCTAGCCTGAGCAAATTTCATTTTTCTAGACACATATCTTCTTTTGAGTACTTCAACAACCAAAAACACTGCAGGTTTTATGCGCTCTTTTTTTTTGTATTTGTTGTTTTTGTCATTTTCTTTTCAAAGACTAGCGCAGGCCTCTACGACAACAAGGCGGTGCACCAGTCACACAGAACAGACAAACACTGGTAACTACATAGAGCGAAATGCCTAGGTCTCTGTATGTCACGTAATGGTAGTTACCAGAATCTCTGAAATTTCCATTTCAAATTTAGCGAAAATGGTGTATAGGCAGCAGATATTTAGGTGGTAAAATACATATTCATATACATATCATTATGGTTTGCAATGCCTAATAAGTACCCCCATTTCTCCTAAATACACCACTGACTTTTGTATCTTCTTACCATAAACCCTCAAATTGTGTCTTCTTTCTAACCCACCGACACTACATACATAGACATCTTGGTCTGATTCCTGGAGCTGTCTGAACCTCAAGATGGAGACATATGGGCCTGGCGTCTCTACAGTCAGTCTTGGATCTATAAAAAAGAAAACAATTCAAAAATAAATTAGAAATAAGATTAAATATAAACAAATCACAACTGTAGACCTTATATCGCAAAGTTTCTTACAAACAAAATTTTTAACTTTCTTTTACTGGTTTTTAATATTTAATAATTTTTTTACAATTTGGAATAAAGTAATTATTCTTGAATAGAAATGCATGAGCAATACCTGATGGTATTGTAAGTAGTTATGTTTACCCAGATTAACTAATTACAATACATTAATACAAAACATTTATGAAAAAAATAATGGTGTTTTATAAATCCAAGAATTATCATATGATAAATCAAATGATTGAGAAAGATAATGATAGTACCGCCAATTAATATGTTACTTACCTATTGGTAGGGCTGATGCTAAACTCCATGTAGGATATTGTGGTCTGTTATTTCCAGTTATCTCACAAACCAGTGCAATAGAGTTACCAACAAATGGAGCTGTTCCAACAAGACTGATATCCATTGAATATTCATTTTCAGCTGTAAATAAAGGATAAAAATAAAGATCGATTTTTAACAGATTATCTTGCAACAAGAAAATAATGCATTTATGAAAAAAAAAACATTTACACTTCTAAAGTTTCAGTGAGACACAAGGCATAAAAATAAAGTTTAACAGTCAGGTTATTTATAGAATAGAGATTTTTTTTATACATTTTTAAATCTTTTAATCACGTTGAAATTAAGAGCTTTGCTTTTACAGTTGTATTGTTCTGACTTCATTTAAGTTAAAATGTAAAGCATTTCACAATTAATGAGACAGTAAAAATAGCTTATGCATTTTGTGAAGGCATAAATACATGTGTCAAATAGGCTCTGGTTATATGTTAACCATTTTAGTATTTTGTCATAACTACGGTCTTCGATGTTCCATAATATGTCAATAAGAAGAAGAGATAAAATATTAAAATATTTATGTTTAAATTCAAAATCCTTATTATTTGTCAAATAAACAAAATATAATTCTTACCTATGTTTTCACAAGTATTTCCATAGTAACTTTCACTGCAAACACATTGACCAGCTACACAAGTACCACCATTCTCACACATAGGACTACATACAGGATCTTAAATAAACAGATTAAAACTGATAAATTATATACTTCACATCTTATAGTAGAGCTATTAGAGTAATAATAAATTGGGAAAGGATGCAAGGCTTTCTTTTCAGCAGCGCAAAACATGGCCTAGAAACAAAGAGGATAACATAAATGATTGAACAGAATATATGGAGAAACATAGAATTAGTTTTACAAACCTGTGACATCAATAAAATAGTTAGCTGTGATTGGTCCAGATACACATGTGTAATCACCAGTATGATCGAGACTTATCTGGCTGATATGCAGTATAGTAGTGGTTGCTGATACTTTCTCAATATAAGTTCCTAAAAAATAATATAATGATAAATCAAATTTATAAATTTATATATACATATTCATTTTTTATTTCAATACATACAAAAAAATAATTAAAAACATAATAATCTTCTTTTTTAATGTATTAATTATTCAAATTCTTTTAAGTGCTTTGATTTTAATGCTTTACTGCTGCAGCTCCATGTTCATTGGCTGTTTTAAAATTTTAATGTTGTGCATTCTAATTTAAATTTGGTAGTTTTTAATCTTTGTATAAGTATTCCTTATGTACTGTATTTTGATTAGATTTATTCATTTTAACTTTCGTAAAGTGCATTGAACAGTTTCATTGAAAATACATTATGAAAGTAATTATCATTATTATTATTATATTAATGTAGCACTTTAAATACTATAAATACTTTCTCCGAACCCCTTTGTATATACGATAGTGTTAAAAAAAAAAAAAAAACAGTAAATCTTATGCTTCATTCATACTATATAGTTGTATTTGATAAAATTAATACCTGTGAATTGTTATATGCCAAATGGCATAATCATGTATGGGAAAATCATATACTTGTTGCACGCAAACATGATAGTGCAGAGAGGGCTATAAAAGGAGTCTAAAGCCTTTTTTTCAACTAGGCGAATTTATTAGGCTTTCTGAGCTCTGATTGGTTGCACATTTTTTCGTTTCCCAAAAAGTAGAAACAGTTTGAATTAATACTTTCGCTGAAGTGAAAAACTCTGACAGGAATGTGAATACACATGAGCATGAACCGATGTTTTCGATTCGCGCCGATAAATTCGCCTTGTGGAAACAGGCTAAAGGTTGTTTACATGAATATTATGAGAGATTTTGAGAGGTCAAAGAGAAGAGCGAATCACGATAGACCCTGCCATTTCCACACTGACCAGAAAAAACTAATTCCTCTAATGTAGCACAATATGTTATATTATATACTAACAAAAGAAATGTTCAAAACAAATATTTGTCAGTTACCGTCATTTGATGTTTCCTCAATGACTGTACCATAAGGATTGACCCATACTGGTTCTGAGCTTCCGCCCTCTGCAGTTGTTTCACACTTGAAAGTGACATTACTTCCTTTTGTTGGCACTTGTTCAATGCCAGGAATGACACTCACTGTTATTCCTGAGCCTTGTGGATCCGCTGAAAGAGAAAAAATTATCTGTTTCAAGGAAAAATCATACCTATGGAAATATAGTAGTATAAGACTTCTTTTTTAGGTGATATTGATGACTAAATACATATTATTAAAAATCAATCCACTTGGTTTAGTATTAGAAGGTTACCATGGTACAGGACTAGCATTGTTTGATGATGATAATGATAAGGATGAAGATGTGAACAAAGAGGTGAATGATGGTGGTGGTGATGACGATAATGAAGAAGGTGAAGATGATAAAGATGATGATGATGATGATAATAAGATGAAAAAAAAAAGTAAATGATCATGAACATGATCATGATTATCAACATGATCATGATCATAAAGATGATGATGATGATAAAGATTATGAATTTCATAATGAATATCATAATGATAAAAATGATGATAATGATGTTCATATTGGTGAAAGTGGCAATGATGATGGTGAGTGCTTAGCTTTGGTCCTCCAATCAAAAGATCAGAGGTCTGAGCTTGGGGTCAAACACTTGTGCATGCCACTTAATCCATACTGTCTCTCCACAGCTAGGATTATAAGTAGGTATTTAGTAGATAGAATGCCAATGTACTTATTACTAGTTGCAATATTATGGAATACTCTCTTTGGTAAGTGTTCATACGGAGACACACAAAGAGAACCGACATGATTTTTTTCTATACGAGGCTTGCCATCCCAAATCCAGTGTACTGTCACTAAATGTTAAACTGATTAAATAGCATAAGAATGAGGCAGTATTGCATACCTTAGTACAGAAAAGCTGTAAGTAATACTTTTACTCATAACTTTGGCAATAAGTAGATTCCAGTAAATGACCAATCATTTAAAAGTATATAATGTGAAGAATGACAGCACAGTATAATATACACTCCAAGTATCAAAATGCACGCCATCATGTTGGGATTCAATATTTCAATATTAATTGTGTCATCATTCTATCTTATCTGAGATTAATCAGTAGACCTTTTGAAGAATATGAATATATTAAAAAGTCAATTTTCTTGTTCTGGTCATTGATGGTGGTTTTGGTATGGCAAGCCCTATATACTGTAACACTGACAATTTAGTATTATTGTTATTATGATGCTGACAAAGAAAGGACATGCACCTTTGAAGTTACAGAACTCTCCTGAGAACCCATCTGCACATTCACAGAAGCCATTAACACACGTGCCACCATTGGCACATGGTTCTCCACACACGGCGTCAGGATCTGCACAAGAAACAAGTACACAGAGAATATAACAGCTCCACTTATCAAAACCACATGCTTTAAATGCAAAAAAATGCTTTGGCTGATCAGAAAAAATGATTTGTCCTAGATAGGCCTTAGATCAAATCACAGGTGGTATGTCAAGTCAACAGCAAGTGGGCTGATGGTCTATCGGATAAAGCTTTGCTAAGTCTCAGCATTTTCCGATTTAGGCATGCAGTTGAAGCACTTTGATGACTAAGTTACATCATCAGAGAACATTCATATAGTCTGCTCTAGATTCCATTTCTTTCCAAATGTTACGTTTACTAGAATAAACATCACTAATGTTGTTGACACTCACCTTGAGGAACCAGGTTAAGAGTATTGGTGACCTTGTTTGCCCTGCACGTATATTTACCAGCTTCTGACGCTTGTAAGCTCTTGAAGCTCAGCTGAATCGTTCTTTTATTGAGATTTTTTGCGCTTACACTTGCACTTGCATCACCTTTTAAGCAAAAAATATAATACATAATTAGCTTTGCATACCACATAATGAATGTACATATCTTGAATTCATAATGATACTAAACTTATAATGTGCTAAATTTAATCGATTTTCTCTTCGGTTTTTTTTTTTTTGCTCACTGATTACTTTATCACAGCAAAAAAATTATATGAAATATTGCCTGTATAAAGCTCTGTTCCACAACCATTTAGTTTTAAGAGACAATTAACTGTGAGAATATGTGGCAAAGACAAGCCAAACCAGTCACTCATCGCAAATATCAATTGTTAGTTATTTATAGGGGTAAAGTGTAAAATGAGAATTATAAAATGGTAAAAGAATCATTTAAATCCAACATTCCATTATCAAGTTACAGGAGTTTAAACATACAGCTATTTAAAGAATGATATTTGAGAAATCAGCCTTCACAAATCGTTAAAAATTTTTTGTTGTAACATTAAAAATGGGGAAAACAATAGCATAGCATGATACGTAATATAGATATATAAATTAGTTTAGTGCAACAAAACAGATTTCCAGCATGTTTTAGCCATTATCTCTGTAACAGGATTGGCAATGAATAACTGGTTAGGATTGATTAAATATCAAAGGGGCGGGGCTTTATAGCGGAAAGGTCCATTGTGTTTCATTAATCAGTACAGCATACCTGAGACTATGTTATCATCTGGTCCATACCACTTGATGTTCTTAGGACCCTTCCCTTGTAGGCCACATGTATAGGTTACACGCTCGCCAATTACTGGATTTTCTGGTCCTGCTAAGCGCAACTTGAATTTCTTTTCACCTATTTAAGAAAGCATGTTCATTATTACTATATATGTTTATTAACGTTTATGTTCACACTTAAATAATACTACAGTATGTTTATATGTGTTGTGTAACATTCAACTGCTAATAATTCACTGTGTTTACAAGTTTAACATACTTACTTAGTACTTCACAGAGGTTTCCTGAATACTTATTCCTACAAGCACATTTATTGTCAATGCATGGCGCATCATTACGGCAAGGCAGATGACAAGGTGGCTCTCCTGCAAATAAGCAACAAAATTGTAAATACAAAGTTAAAAATATGGAAGACAACTGAACAAGATTTAAAACATGCAAAATTACAATTGTTGGTGGTGCTATAGAGTACCATAGTCGTGTCATCACTACACTAGGTGGCGCCCTCTGGACGTTGGTTACCATTCATTAAATCCAAGCAAAATAAGATAGCTTGAAAAGACTGCAAGTAATTTCAAAGGCTGGGTGTATCCAACTTCGAACAACGTCGAAAAGGGAATGAGGACGTTTGTTAGGGAGACGGTTCGCACGTGGCGCCTTGGGTCGGACTGTTCCATTATTTTCGAAGGGGTGTTCTGTTTTGGGAACAATGGCAATTAGTCGGTTATCCAGGTAAGTATTCACGAAATAGACTTGTAAATACAAAGTTAAAAATATGGAAGTCAACTGAACAAGATTTAAAAAATGCAAAATTACAATTGTTGGTGGTGCTATAGAGTACCACAGTCGTGTAGTCACTACACTAGGTGGCGCCCTCTGGACGTTGGTTACCATTCATTACGCCTGAATGACTTCATAATCTTAATGGTTTAAAATAGGCTTTCTGGAATAGGCATTTTTTATGTTAGAAATTGGGATCAATGGTTTGTCAGTGGGGAAAATGGCGTCGGTTCATTTTGTGTCGCCGATAGCAACAGAGTAGCATCACATCGTATCATGATGTAACACTGTAGTACTCTATAAGAACATTATACTCCTGATGATTGTTTTACTTGTGCTTACTACCATAGTAATCTCTTCAGGTCTCTTCAAAACAGATGTTGGTCGGGTGTGCTGCATTTAATTTATAAAACTGCACACTGGGCTTATACAGAGACAAAATCAAGCCTAAACAAGGTGGTAGGCTTATAGTCGAGCTTGGGCTTATAACTGGTAAAATACTTCCTAAATCAGTTCATTGGAATTCGAATGATTATTATGACAAAAAAAAAATATTCAAATGAAATTAATTTTTTCAAATATCAAGAGTTGAAAAGACTCATCTTACGGTACAAATCAAGTTTAAAGTTGGTTGCGAATGGAAATACGATGCAAGTGTATAGGCCAGTATCATCTTCAGTCAGGCTACTAATTATTAACTTCGTCTCTGTTGGTGATATTCGCTCCGAGTACATATCATCATTAATACCTGAAGTAGATACAAATTTTTACATACATTTTCATGATTTAACTACCAAAATATATCTGTTTTAATTAATGAGTACTCATTTGAATAAGTAGTTGATAGCCAAGAAAACCTACACACAATAATATATGGAACCTTTTTACATAACAATCAAACAATTGATCAGAATTATTTATAAATTTTTGATACTCACCAGGGGACTGATCTTGTATCCTTGAGCCATCTGGTGATACCCACACTGGGTCTTTGAACTCACTGTTCTCTGGTACCTCACAGGTGTAACTGACAGCCGAGTCCACACCTGGGATCTGGTTTGGAGGGCTATGAATACTCACACTAAATGGTCTGCCAACTATGTTGCAAAAATACACATACTGTAGTTAAAGTAACACTGAAAACTCAATATCAATAAAATTAGGTGTCGTCCAATATTTCTTTACAAAAAAATTAATTGATTGATTCAAGAAAAAAAATTACAAATATGAAAGTATAGTGCAAGGAAATTTATGTGAATGCTAAAATCTAGTAAAATTGATGGCATATTAAAATGTTATTTATTGATAAATAATGTTCCACTCTTTATAAGCTTAGAGATATAGAAATAGAGATAGACTGTACTGCAACTGCAATAGAGAAAATAAATGCATGATATTGTTAATCATATCATCAGTAGCTACTGTTTAATGATATATAATTATGTTAACATAAATGAAATACACTGTATACAAATCAGTGGCATATCTAGCAGTATTGACATGGGGGAGCTGATGAGAATATTTAAAGTCCAACTAAAATGACATATTCTAGTTGCTTTTAAAATGTCATAAAACAATAAAGAATTATATAATAAACATATCGATGACTTTCCTTTTATTTTTAGATAACGCGTTTTTCTGAAACACGAGTTTTAAATCACCTATTTTTATGAATTCTGTATCGCTAAGCTCCAACTTCTGAATCTGACCCGCATTTGACCTTTACCGGATAGACATACACTCGGTACAACATAACACAGGATGTTCATGGGATCGTGACTCTTAGCAACACAAACATATTAGGTAGTAGGAATCACAGGTTTTACGATATTCTCAGTTAAGGCCTAGGGTAATCATACGCTGAAAATTCGGAGAGTAATTATTAAATAAACATTCAAAACGTACTAGCAGCCCTCGAAATTAGCATCGGCATCACGTTATGAACACAATGTAAGAGCGAGAATGCGAGTAGGCCTAGGCCTAGCTAGCTAAGCTAGGCCCTATTCTCTGCATCCACCCCATACCCAAAGCCCGTACTCGCTACATACCACAAATGTGTTTGAATAAAACATTTAAACTATTTGTTTTGATTTACTTTATTCATGATGATTAAATATCTTACACAAAATACATGCATATTATTACTGTATATGCTATTTTTATGACCGACGAGGTTGTTTACTTTTTGCTAGAATACGTCGTATGGAGCGATGTTCTTCGCTCAATCGGGGCCGCTCGGCACAAATTTGTTTTGACTTTAGTGATGATTATGGGTTTAATTACAGTATCTTACAAAAAATTTATACATGCATATTTTATGCTATATTATGATGGACGAGGTTGTTTACTTCTTGCTTCAAAGCATACTTCGTTCATAGGGCCGATCACTTGTTCTCTACAACGTGGTCTTTCTTCAGATGTTCTTCGCCGACGCTCGATCGGGACCGGCTTGACCCGATTTAACGGTGTCTGGACTTTGGGTGGGTGGGGGCTTGAGAAATGAGAAAG